GTAAACTATTTTGACTGCTCTCTATCAGCTTTATAGAGGGATCCCAATACGACGCTTTTAGCGTCGATCTGCACACTTCCGCATTTGAAAACGAGGCTGTATGTGTCAGCTTCAATTCTTAATACGATCAGACGATTGAAAGTAAGGAGTCAAGACACAAAATACATAAAGGTATGTTAAATTCAGACTTTTAAGGCTGCGCATTTTTGTGGAAGAGTCTTTCAGGATGACTCGACACGTAAAATCCAAAGAAAAAATAACGACAATTTCCCGCGAACGTACTAACGTACCTGCGATAGTCGTGTGTCTTGTGCAGTGGGCGTGGTTAAAACTGAAGTGGCGTCACACTTACGAACCAGCTTACTCCATGTACTGTGTGCACTCCGCGGGCGCGCGCGAGGAAGTTCAACACAGAGAGCCTCGGTTTCGATGCAGATATGCGCAGACGGCGCTAATGTGAAATCCCTCTATGTTAGACTTGCCAACAGTCCACAAACAGTTTTTTGAGAAAGTTTACTCTGTAGAGATACCAAAGATTTTGCCAGGTAAACTTGTATACAGAGTAATTCTTTTTACCCTCCGTCGGATTGCCCGTCTTCATTACATCCTCCTTGCTGGCCCGCCCCGCCTCCCGTATTGCATCTTGCTCGTCGCTATCCTTCTCCAGCTCCCGCTTCTCCTGTCGCTCGTCTGTGCCTCTCTCTGCCTCCTGCCACCTCTCCCCTCGTGCCTCAACCTCCGTCGTGTCTTGTCCGGTCTCCTGCACGCTGGTCAGCTCTACCTCTTTGCTCGGTGAGGGGTCATCCAGAAGTCTGTTCTCCTGGTTTGTCGAAACTTCAGGACTTGCGTCTTTGACAAGATCATCTTTGAAGCAGGGAAAAAGAAGATAATGCTCACAAGAATATTGGGGGAGTCGGTCCTGCATAGTTTATTATCTTACCTTGAACAATCCCCTACGTCCTCCTTCTTTAGATTCCAGCTGTGCAGAGATGAACTTTTACTTACACCGAGCATGAAATTTGGCCTGTTCTTACTCCGTACATGGGCAAAATTTCAGTCCAATCAGAAAATTGTTTGCACTATTGGTAATCAGTACTTCACACACCATTGTCGGTAAAATCCCCCAAAATACTATGTCGGTTCTGTCAGGAAATCAAAACTGAGGGGGGGGGTTAAGGAACAGATTCCATCTTCCAACTCATTTTTGAGTCAANATTGCGATACAGAGATGGAATTCCACATTAACAAATTCATGCTTGACAAAGTGCAGACGCGCAAGGATTTCCTGTATCACACAACAAGGTGGATGTTAAAATTAACAAGTTTGGGCAAATTCTGCATGCAATGTCACTTGACATCTTCACTTGCCCCACGCTTGAGTGATTCCCATAAACTTGAATTAGTGCGTGGAGGTTGAGCATTTGTAATGGGGGTGGGGGGGGGCTTGTGACCCTTGATTGCTGGCAGGCTGAAAAGGAGAGAACACAGACAAGGTGGTTGGAATAGGTAGGGGATGGTACAGCACTGAAGCATGCTGGACCACACCACCCAGACCAGCTCAGCACCCCATCCAGGGTCACTCCACTTTCAAGAAGGGGATCTAACTGTCTAGAGTAAGCACAGGTGTAGTGGGCTAAACCAAGTTGAAACTCCAACAGCAAAAACAAAAAGTGTTTGGGGGTGTATCATACAAAAGAAAGAAAACAATAAAGAGTAAAATTTTAAGGGCACTAGTAAACAAAAAAAGGGGAATACCTCTTACACATGTGGGGAGCCCTCAAGCGTCTGTGGGCCACAGCTGCGCGTTGCAGTAAACATCGCTCTATGACATAGTCTCGTAGTTTTAAAGAGACACCGATACGGTAAGAAATGTTGCACAAATCTTGAAACAAATGACCTCCCCGGTGGTGGCATTTGTAAAGTCCATCTTTGTAACGGACCGTGGCTTTGGTGTCTTGTCATTTTAGCATGCTGGTGTTTTGGGCTGAAAGTAATCCGCTCCAAGCAGGAACAAAACAGGGCCCCTTAAAAATTAAACTGACGGTCCTTTGCTACGCATTCATCGCATAGGTGTGCAAGTTTATGTGCGCTTGATGCTGAGCACGCCGAGTACGCGTAACGAGTTTAGTCTGGAATGCATGGTCTTTGCGCGCACCCCGAACACGTGCAAGGAGCTGGTTGGAGAACTTAGTACCATCTGTCTTTCTTTCGCTGCTGAGGGTGCACTGCAGCTCAGGGTGGATACAGCACCCAGCACCCAGCACCCAGCACCCAGCAGCAAGCACCCAGCACCCAGCACCCAGCACCCAGCACCCAGCAGCAAGCGCGACTTGGAATGCAATCGATAAGCAGTTACAACATGTAATCGTGGTTACCTTTGTCGTCGCTCTTATCCCCATTCATCTGGCTGTGGTCCGTCCCACCGTTCTGCATTTCCCCGTTCTTCTCCCTGTCGTCGACTCCTTCCTCCACCTCATCCGCCTTCTCCTCCCTCTCCATGTCTCCGCCCTCGTCCCCGTAGCCGTTGCAGAGTTCGCCGGCGTCCTGAGCCTGTACCCAGGGGCCGTCCCCTATGGGATCCACCATAGGATCTGCCATGGGTAACGGCTCCTGCTGCTGTTTTAACCGTTGCGGGCTGGCCGGTGTATCTGACGATGTTTCATCCACTGGGTCCTGGGTGTCGGTGATTAGTATGTTGGTCTCTTTGGGGTTCCCGTTGCCATTTGTGGTCAGGCTTGTGACAGCTGTAAGATAAAATGACAATTCCATGCATAGTATAAATACAAAGCTGTTTGCACAATGGAGCTTACGGAACTAAGTTTAGAGTGGCACATCAGACATGCTGAATAAGGCAATTCAAGTAAAGAAACCACTGGGCACTAAGCAAATCCCAGCACAGAAACCGTGGGTACCGTCCAAATTTCAAACAGAAACCATGGGCCCCACTTGATTTCAAGTACGGAAACCATGGGCATCATACAAAGTTTTGTATGGAAGTTACTGTTCCATTTAAATACCAGTGCATACTCATTCCAGTGCTGAACTGTAGGCACTACAAAATGCCCATGTAGAAACTGTGATTCAGTCCCACACGCTGCGCACAAGGGCAACTAATACGTGCTTCTCTTCAATGCCTCATTGCTTTTTGCAGCTGCACACTGGCAGCTGTGATCGGTCAAAGACTACAGCGATGGGGCTTCAAGGACCCAGGAAATGAAATTTTCTTAGAATCACTTTTTGTGTATCTCTGTACTCTTCTTGCATGTATGAAGACTGTTTGACATCTTTTTTGCGTTACGTTAACTGAATGGTGCACTTTTTCAAACATTAAAAATTGACCAAGCATTTCTGGACAAGTGAGGGCGCTTTTGCTTTGATGTAAATCCAGGAAGACATACATGTAGTTCAGGTTGCATGTTTACATGAGCAAATTGTGAACTCCAAATTTGCTATCTTGGCACATTTCTGTAAAAAGGTTTTTTGCTGAATTATTACCATATGCTTACACAGCAATAAATTGCCAAAGAAAATGAAATTTGCCATAACAGCAGTTTAAAAAATCTAGAAATTTTCCTGTGAACAAATCAGTGCAACACTGAGATTCAGCGCCTTGGATGACATCATAGTTCTACTCATGAATATGCAAATACATTAGCATAAAACAAAATAAAACATTAAAATATGGATTAAAATTGCAAAACAAAAATTTAAAATAAGATTAACTGAAACAAAACGATGCAATTTCAAGGGTTTTTAGTACAATTTATAAAAGTATTTCTATTTCCTGGTTCCTTTCATGGGTCAGTCAATACCAGTAGAGAAGCCATGCATGGTAACCAGAACAGCATGTGGAAACAGTCCAGGGCAAAAACTACTGGCACCATGCCATATCAGTTCAATAACAAGTACAATCAGTAGAAGACATTTCAGTGTTAGCCACAATTAATCTAACAATGATGCAGTTCCAACAAAACTGTCAGTGTTTAATGAAAACAACTGCAGTTTATGCTGCACAAAAAGGCAACAACGTTTTTGAACCAAGAAATTTCGCCACCAGCACCAAGTCTCACATCCCCCCCATCAGGATTCCCCTTTTATTTCTCTATTTCTTTTCAGAGACAGGCCTAAGCAGCCTTCATCCATATTCACTTCTTTAATCCGTAACCTGTTTCTTTTTATTCTCAGGGCCATAGATTTCCATACACCATGCAAATAACTGCCAGTTTTTGTTTAACAATTCAGGTACGGAGTGCAGACTCCCAAGTAGAATGCCCTTTCTTCTGTGTTTGATCAGTCAAGTCTTTTAGATTCACTGTAGTTTGCCATGAGGCGTCAGTGGTTGAAGGAGAGTGTGGGTCAGTGGAATTTATTTTGCATGTGAAAAGATGATGGCAAGGATATATAACCAGTTGGGGGTGTGTCAAGACACAACTCTTGGTTTTGAGACAGTATGAAGGTGGACAGTTTGTGTGATCCTCAGAGCCGCGTGCTTTCAAGCCTGTAGCAGCCGGAGTTTGCGCTATTTGGAGCAGGCATTTTTCAGACTGCTCAAGGGTAAATTGGTTCAGAGCTAGTTGAGCGGCTGGATAAGCAATTAAAGTTTTGGAACATCTCGAAATCTGAAAGATATTCTTCCCTTTCTTTTATGCCCTTGTCAAACATAATGGTTTGATGTGTTGATATTTTGAAATTGATCTCGCACAGTGATTATTCAACTGAATTTTATGGTGTTTTAAAAAATGTGACTTCAAGATTATACCTGAAAGAGCTAATCTGCTAGGATTTCGAATATTATTGCAGTACATGTGGCCCACTTTTCATTAAATATTAGGTGGCCTGCCCTGACCAGATGTTTTCCTGTGAGCCTTGAGGTGGGCATGGACAAGACTCCAGATGACCGATCTTGCATCAAAGGCCAACGATAGAGGGCGCTGACAAACCCGACACAGCAAATCAATGCCATTGTCGCCACTGGTCAGTGCATGGTGCACGATCAAAACCATGCTAACGGTGATGTGAATGACCCTACCAGGTGAAGTGGAGCATGGGGCACAGCACCTTGGTCGTCAGCTAAACTGGACCAGTACCTCACTTCAACAAACCACAACTTTGCGATTGCTGTGAACTGTCTTTCTTTTGTCAATTTTGCAAGTATTAGAATTAGATGATTGTGATTTTAAGTGTTTTATGAGATCCCTGGTATTTTCAGATTGAATCTGATCAGCAAGTTAACTTTGAGATTTGGGAACTTGATTTTAAACTTCAGAGATTGTGGCACATATGTCTCTGGAATACTGCTGAGTAATTTTACCCACTAATCAGCGTAGTTGACATTGATGTAAATTGAGAATGATGCTCTGAAGTTTAGTTGAGGTTTATGGGTAGTAGATTTTGAAGCTAGTTCACTATAGTCACAAATCATTGAGATTATTTATCACAGCTTATTTTCATTATATTTGAAAGGTATCAGGCCGTGCACTGGGATTCCTATGTTAATCAGTGGTACAGTCACTTGGGGATTCGAATTCGGGACGTGATAATTAATCGGGATTAATTGGAAGTGATACTTAAACTTTCTTTTTAATTGTGAACATAGTACAGTTGTACTTGTAATCACTGGACTATTTGCAGTGCGGTCTTTCTTTCCAGTAGCAGCTTCAATCCAATTAGCCTAGCTGTGACACCCCCCCCTTGATACAGTACCTGTTTGGCCCTCTGTCCCATCGGCATCCAGCCGGTCGTTCCTCTCCTGTACCTCCTCCGCCTCCTCCTGCACCCCTTGCATGGCCGTCTCGTTCCCCATTTCCTTACCCGCCAGGGCAGCTGGGGCAACCTCACTGCCTGGCGTGGTGGCGTACTCGCTGCTCGGGGTAGTGGCAAACTCACTGCCTGGAGTGGTGGCCGTCTCGCTGAGCGGCGTCTGGTTGCCGTTGCTGCTGCCGCTGCTGTTGTTGCCAGCATGCTGCTGCCTCTCTGTTTCCATGGAGTGGACTTGGTCTTTGTCAGATGTGGCTGTGTTTAAATTATTTCAAAGTAAAACCTCTTGTCTGGACCATGGCATGGAAATAGAAATGGACACCATCAGAACAAAACGTTCTTGGACAAATGAAATTTATGGGTTCTTTCTCTGCAAACGTGCTTTCAAATGACTGTTGGATTACACAAGGGGGGAAACAATTTTTGAAAACAGAGGCTGCAGAATAAATGAATCCTGAAGAAATGATTCAAATTACATTAACCGCTTAAAAAATACAACTTCAAAGTTTAACAGCCATATTGTGCTCTTGGGCCACTGGTTAGAAAGGGTTTATCCACTATTGTGTCAACACTACAAGTGCACTGACTACTGCAAATATACTTGGGGGAGCGGGTTAGCGTAGCGGTTCTTTCCTCGCTTTGCACCAATGAAGCCCGGGTTCCAGTCCCGGCTTGGCCCAGGCTTTACGTGCATTTGGTTTCCAGTCCACATTCGCTCTCGCAGGTTTTCTCCGGGTACTCCGGTTTCCTCCTGCCTCTAAAACTGGACCGTCTTCCTAACTCCGTAATGTGATGCTGATTAATTAAGTGTATGAATAAACGTACAGTTATTGGCGCAAATAGCCTGAGTTGCTGAAAGCGCCATTAAAACAAAACAACAACAAATATACTTGTGGGTAGTTAATTTTCTTTGCATTATCAGATGACAGGTGGGTTGCACTCTTCAGAGCCCTTCTTATTATATAACACATTCCTTTAAATGCAAGTCATTCCCTGGGTAGCTTCACTCTCACTTGAGCAGCGTAACCTCGCTGTCCCAAAAGCCCTCCCACCCGAAATTTTCCAGTTAAACCAACCTAGTTTTGTCATTGTTTCTGTTTTTCAACAGCTTGGGAAACATGACCTCGTCGACAGTACTCTGCCACAAATTCTGATGGCATCCAGGGCAAAATTCACGTCCAGAGGATACAGTGTCAGTTGGAAGCAATGGGCTTCATCCAAGACCAACGTCCAAACTTTCCAGTTCGACCTAACAGACCTTGCGCTTTATTTACCTGCGCTTTCCCGCACAGACAGGCAATCTGAAGCAGAATTTGCCATATCCACAGCTAATTGGGTGAATAGCTTAGCCGGCCTACCATCACAAATGGAGCACCCTCTGGTCAAAACAATTTTACAAGGTTACAGAAGACTCACCTCCTCAACTCCCAACAGGAAGGGACCCATTTCTCTAGAAATATTTACGAAGCTTTACCAAGTTCACAGGCAGCCAGGTGCTGCTTTAGACGATCTAGGCATTCTGTTTGTGTGTTTCATTTGTTACGTCGGATTTCTCCAAATTGAATGACACCAGTAATGTCTGTCATATGGACTGCAGCATTCTAAGCGACAGGCTCCTTACTCACCTGCCCCAGGTCCAAGACTGATCAGTTTTGGCAAGGCAATACCGTAACTATTGCCCGAACTTTTAAGACAACTTGCCCTGTTGCCATCGCAGAGAGATACCGGTACATATTTCTTGGGAGCACTGGGTGACCCCCACAATTCATCTTTGCCGGTCCTTCGCCGACTGACCCGGACCAAACAGGGTCTCGTTCCAACAAAATATGAACTTAGTTATACTAGAACCAGAGAAATTTGTTTTGCAAGCACTCAGCCCTTTGGTTCCAAACATTCAGAACTTTGGTTCACACAGCCTCGGGTCAGGAGGTGCAACTGCTGCTTCCTACACACGGGTACCGTCATATTCAATTTCAAGACACGGAAGACGGAAGACAGACAAATCTAGAAACACATATGTGGAGCCAGATCAGGAAACAGTTTTACTCCCATCAGCAGCTGTAGTTCACTTTCAACCAACCTCCAGGGCACTCCTGAAACCTTTTGAAAGAAAGTCTGATAGGAAGTTCATTTGCTCGATCAGCGTGTCATATTTTTTTATGAAAGGCTTGTTTTCTTCCGGCTTTTAAGGTCACAGAGAGGATACAGAATGTTATGTTGGTTTGATACAATATTTGTGTACGCCAGAGAATGAGAACGTTAAATTATGGTGTGGGCGAGGCAAGCAGCTCGGCCTCCCCAATGTGTTCCAATGTTTGCGTCCACCCTTGTCATTATTTCTGATCCCTTGTGTCACACATGAGGGAGATTTAGAAAACAAAATTGTTTTCTTACAGAAGTATGGAGAAAGAAATTTAGCCCAGAACTGTTTACATGATGTCAAATGAATTATGAGCAAACGAGTCACAGTTGTTTTTGCTAATGATTCTGCTGTTAAGCACACTCCTCATGGAAACAGAAGAGCCCAGTGTACCTGATAACCTTGAGTGTCTCTCCTTCTCCAGCTCCATCAGCTGTTGCTCTTGCTTTTCCAGGAGGGCAAGTTGTTTCTTCTGCTTCTGCTTCAACCGCCTCTTCTTGTTCTTGGACAGCTTTTCTGGTTTCTTCTCAATGGGAGCGGTGCTCACTGTGACACGGGGAAATGACCGCAAAGTGAGTTAAATCATAAGCCAATCATTAGTCAGGTCACAAATTCATCCCAGGTCAAGCCACAAGACAATCAAAACTCAGATCACAAATCCATCATAAGTCAGTTCACAAGACAAGCTACAAGTCAGATCACAAAACAATCACAAGTCAAGGCATACATGTAAGTCGATCACAAGTCAGATCACAAGTCAGGTCACAAGCGTATCACAAGTCAGACCACAAGACAATCACAAGTCAGATCACAAGTCCATCACAAGTCAAACCACAAGACAATCACAAGTCAGATCACAAGTCCATAGCAATTAACATCGATTGAACAATTACTCAAGGATTTTTTTCACCAAAGTTCATTTGAATAGCTTGAAACTCGACTTGAGACTGGATTACTTGTGACGGCACTTGTGAGCAATTCGATTGCGAAAAACACTGGGAAGGGTCTGAGAAAATTGGTGAGGTCGACCAGAGACACTGGGCTTACCAGATGACACTGGGGGCTTGGCGTTACCCTGCACCCAATCCTTGGCTTCATGGGCCAGTTTCCTGATGTACTCATCGTTGACACACATCAGGATGTTCTCGGGCTTGATGTCCGTGTGGATGATGTGACACTTGGTGTGTAAGTAGTCCAAGCCTTCCAGGACCTTTAGAAATGGAGCCAAAATAAACAAGCCAATGGTTTGTCTGGTTTCAACTGTGTCCTCCTTTCTATTACAAGACTCACCACCAGCAAACTGAAAAAATCATCAGCAGTGGAGAGGGTCCATTTCTCAGGTACTTTCAAGCGTTCATTGGTGACGTTCATCCCCTTCCTCCGTTTTCTTTTGTTTCTCTCATTTTCTCATTTCCTCGCCCTCCATTACTGTACCCTTCATTTCTCGACCCCTCCCCGGGGAGGACAAGTCCCGCCCGCTACGACACCCAGGCACCCACCTGTCTAATGATGCTCTTCACTTGATGCAGTGGGAGGCCCATGTACTTGGACTTGATGATGGGTTTGAGGAGGTTATTGCCGAGCACCTCAAAGACCATGCACACATCTATGGGGAAACAGAGTTAGGGCAAAACTTCTTGCCAATCAATTGAAAGCATCAATTACTTTCATGACAACTGATCATTCGGTATAGCGAAATTAACTGCAGAACATTTCGTTGCCATGTTGAATAACGCCCTCTCTTGTCTAACTGAAGTGCACCCTCTTGTGATACTATGATTTGCTGTTTTCATGATGTTTTGCCGTTGCATTCACGTTTGAGGTTTATAGAAATGTATCTCAATTATTTTTGTTTTTTATTAAATCTTGAGTTACAAAATTTATATTTAGTTTATCCTAAAAGTTGTGAAGCTACCACTCAGAATCGATCTCTGATGCATGCTGTGGTGAATCTCGCTTGATTTGCAACTGCATAATGTTCGGCAGGTTTTGTGCACAAAATATTGGGAGCCAAGGACAATTTTCTGTACAGCCAAATGTTCGGTATAGCGGCATTCCACTGTTTAGCCATGTATAGATGTAAAGGATACGGGTTCCATTGACACCGGATACCTTGAAGTCATCTAGCAGCTGGACTACTCTCTCTCTGTTTGCGTCAGATGTGTCACTCTCTCGTACCTGTCGAAAAAAAAAAATAAGTTGACAGATTGTCACAGAGTCATGGGCTGATATTCCAATTCAATGCCTAATTTCAGTTGTCATGAATTTTACAGGAAGCACAAATAAGGGAAAAAACAGGCCACGGCTTACTTATTTTGGATTTTAAGGAAGACTGGAAAATTGACTCTTTCAAAATAAGCACACAAGGTCTGTGGGAGCTGCATGAAAATCCCTTTCCCGACACAATAAACATCTTCAATGGACAAAACATTTGGCAGAGCAGTCAGTTGGTGCAGTGAGCAAAGTAATACAACTACAACGAAGCACAAAACTGTTCTTCTTCTTCAAAACATACTCAGGGAATGTCCTACGCATGAACTGATAAGCCATTCTGTTTATTACAAAAGTAACCATAGCAACGTCCCCCTCCTCCAACTGGAGCAAAACTGTATGTGCACGACTGTCCTCATTACATGTATATCCTTGCCAAGTTTACGGAAAAAGTGGGACAGCAAACATTTTGTGAGAATATTTAAATGCCAAGGCCAGTTTGAGGATAGTTGTACAATCTACTCACAGCTTTAAGTAGTTTGATTTCATCTATTGCAGTTTCTGTGTAGTGCTGTGCACTTTTAACCACCTTCAGTGCTACATATTTACGGCCCCTGGAAAGAGAATGGCAAAAAAGAATTTTAACATTGGCAAGATGACCACACAGACTGCTTGAACCATTCATCAATCAGTCTTGCCCATTAAAACCGTGACAGTAAAAATTTGAAAGCAACTATTTTACATTTTGACATCCAAAATGTGAGACTTTTTTCTTCTTGAGTACATGTGGAAATGTCACTTCTAAAGTTCCAAGGCTTTCAAGATCATTTCAAAAAAGAGCACCTTTTGACCATACTCCTTGGCAAAGCAGTCAAATTTCGAATGATGTGTGTTACAAAAAAGATGAATGTCTTTTCTGCCGTTTCTGATTTTGAGGGGGAAATCACACAAGCATCCCGGGGGAATGCTGAGATTTCTCCTGCCCTGTGATCTTTCACGGTGTGTCACTGCCTCAGGGTCCGTACTGGTGGCTCTATTCTAAGCCATTACAGCTTCACCCAGAAAAGTACAAAGGTATTTTCGGATCCGGTTCATCAGCCAGTGGTGCTAATTGTACACTAGAATTTAAGACTCCATTCATTTATTAACGCCACGCCAACGCAACAACTGTGGCTGCACTTTCTGCACACGTTGTTGTTCCCTAGTAATCGATCCGACGGGTTGATGCAAAAGGGCCATTCAGTGTTTGCAGTCCAAATTTTTGTTACTTGGAAGCTGGCTGGAGTTGTTGAAATGATCAAGACGGGAACAAAATGATGGGGGGTAAGAATGACAGTGTTCCCTTGGGCAATCTTCCTTTCAAAGGGGTAAAAAAATAAACGCCTCCAAACTATAACACATCGTCAGTTTGTTATCAGTTGTTCTGTTTTTTCCCTTCTCATCATCCCTGACCACTCACGGCAAATCCATGATTTTTGACAGCCCTGGCGTTATTTTAAACAGTCTGGCGCAGTAAATCTCTTTTGTTCAGCATCCATTCAAAGCATGAGGCTTGATGGACCCAAAATAAGTCACCAGCAGAAAAAAAGGCTTCTCTGCTCCCAGAAACAGCCATCCCAGCCAAATGCCTACTTGGAGTACAGGTGCATGTGCAGGCATTTATTTCAATAGTAAAAATCTGCATGAATTACTGGTATACATGTAGGTACATGTATGTAAAAAGAAGATATCGCTTGTAAAATGCTGCAGCTACATATTTCTCCTCCTTTAACCTTCCCGTGCAAAGATGCATCTGCACTAAGTTGTCCTATCAGTCAAAATCTGTCAAGTGACATGTATGGTATGTCTACGTGCTATAGAGGGAGAAGTGGGAGGAAGTTTGGTCTGGCTACGACTGTCACAACAAATGGAAGGTTAATATAAATGTGTATTTCATGGCCAAATTTTACAAAATCTAGAGAAAACATGTACATGTACCTGTGTTTCTCATGCCCTAGGGTAAAAGAAAGGGACTCTAAATAGCACTCGACTGCCCCCCAAAATTTAAGAGCTCGGTTGCGATTTCAGAATTCCGAAATCTGCTCCTGTACCATCAAACTTGTTGCTATATACATGCAGGTACATGTATACATGTACATGTTCCCCACAGGGTCTAACGGCAAGAATAATTTCACAGGAATAAAAATGATTTCATTCATGAATTACGAGTGACAGGTTGCCCCCCCCCATGAAAAAGAGAAAAACATTTTTAAAAGGTAAAAAATGAAAGAATGAAAAAAGTAGGAGGCACAAAAAAGGGAGAACAGTGGATAGAAATTGGCTTAAAAATACTTCACAACAGACCCCTCTTCCACCTTTAGTGGTCTACCTATTTACCACTGATAAGTGCTTCCCACCCCTCCCCTCCAAAAAAATATCTTGCCCCCCTGCCCTGGACAAAATCTTGGTGATTCCCATGCTAATAACCAATGAGATTAATAAAGGGCAGATGTACATCTACATGAGTGGTGCATGCAGTACACAGTGTGCGCAAGGTTGAAAAATGTAAATGATTAACTGGGGACTTTTACCAAGCTTTACTGACTTACTTGAGGTCCCACGCCAGCCAGACAGTGGAGAAGTGTCCCCAGCCTAGCTTGCGGACGACGTGATACCGGTTGTTGAAAAGGTCACCAATTTTCACTAAGTGGTAGCCACCTGCCGGGAGAAGGGAAAAAGAGATGCCGAAAATTACAGGCATGGTATTCAGTACGCAGATGTGACTTAATCAGTCGACTGAGGGTCCCAATCTGACCTTTAACAAATCGGTGATGTTTTTGGACCCTGATAGAAGGAACCGAGGGTTAAAAACTCTGACGTGGGCCCTCTCGTGTTGCACTCTTGTTATGCTTTTTTTTAACATTGAAACCTTTCAAATGCCTTTGAAAAGTCTGTTCAAATTAACTGGTTGAAAAGCACTCCAACCCTGGTAAGAAAAGTGCAATTTCCCTGCTCATTTCCACATGAGCAGCCACAGTAAATTACAGCCCTCTTTCTGCTGAACATGTTTCCTTTGGGGTGAATTTGGTTAATATTCAAGGTTAATCACAGGAAGACAACAACTTTCCAGAAGGCCAACCTGACAATTCAGAACCATCCAACCCCGATGAGCCACATCACTGGCTATCAATAGCTGTTTGTTACCAAAATGTGGCACATAGCCAACACTGTGATATTTCAGGGTGAAACATTCGACTACTCTGCTGAACCTTGATTACTGATTAACTAACGATTCTTGATCCAGAGACTTGTAAAGTTCCAGCATACATATATCGGTCCGTGCACTCGTAAATTCTTGTTTATCTGTACACAAACATGGGCAGTACATCTGGTTGTCTGTTATGGCAGATATCCAGCAACTTCAGGGATGAAGATGTTGAAAATGGCAGAGGGATGAAATAACGATGTGATAAACTGCAGCAAACATCACCAACGCAGTCTGTCCTGCTTGTACATTACACACATGTACACGGTACACATGAGACTTCTTGAGTTCACAAACTGACTGACAGAGGACCAGTGGCACCCTGACGCTCACACAGGCTGCAGAATGCGATACCGGTAAAACTCTCCCTAGAGTATGAATCTGGTACAAATACGGTATGTTCCCCTGACTACGCACTGCAAGGGCAGATGGCATTAATTTTTGTCTAAAATACATGTACACATAGTCTGGCACTACATGCTCTACACACAGACTGGAAAGTCAAGAGGTTGATACTATGGGTACCAATCAATAACATTTGAAGTCTGATTTTGATGCTGCTCTCAAATAAGGGGTACTTCATCGTGCACAGTATCACATGTTTTGAAGCTCAAAAGCACCAAAGCCCTTGTGTAGATACCAGTAACCTTAAATGACTTATTCTGTAAGAAGTCTTAACACAATTACAAATCAAGAGCAATATGAATACCTCACAAATTTTTCCAAGCATTCTTATGTAAATGTGCTGGCATACATGTACATGTACCAGGGTATGTTTACCTGTACTGTGAGTACAAATCCAACATTAAAAAAAACCCCAAAAATTGACCAAATCACATGCATGCACAGCTGAAGCACAGACCTAATGCTACTGCACAACTTACAAATGAAGTGAATCTGAGGATGTGGGGAGAAAACTGGACATGAGTGACCACAAGAATAAACATGAGAACTCGTGTCTGACTCATTACACATGTGCATGTACATGTACATGTATGCATGTGCATCTTTGTAAAGGCAGGTACATGTAGACCCCAGCTTCAGCATCTTACCCAATGTGACAATCACTGGTAAACATGTACAAACATGTACACCAGTCAGTTGTCATTATGTAGGGCAATGTTTCATTTTTTAGCCGCACATCTATCACATTTTGTCATCAAAAGGTCTATGGGCCGATCCTGTTTATTTGGACTGGGCATAGGGACCTTTACACCATCTATGCACATAGATGGCATATCATCATTGACATGTACAATGTATACCAACATTTTGATCAGAAAAATTCCAAGGTGCCTTGTACATGTAGTATACATGTACGTACATGTAGCCTACATGTACATACACATGTAGGCTACACTGATGTACATGTATGTATTGGGGAACAAGCATAAAATGTCAGCTTGTACATGTACGCTGTACAGTGAAGCACTGTGTGTGTTCACATGAGCTACATGTAAATGTACATGTACTCTGACCAGGCCACTGGTTACTAGACTTCCGTTGCTCCCGGCTATGCTCGTGGAATGAGTAGTACATGAGTAGCACGCTCTAATCACTGTTCTGCTGCTAATTGCAATCGCCATTGTTAACATAAACTCTCATGTCGTTGTCACGGCTATCCATCCTCCTACCCAAGGTACAGTAGGATGATTTTTTTTGTAGCACGGCAACATCGCCAATGCACTCCGTCGTAAACGATACTTGCTTGTGGCATGATGATTTCGCAATCAATAAAAATTAAATATCTATGACATGGTATTAAAAGTACAACATTTGTTCAATTGACCACCTTAGAAATCTGACAACCGCTTGTCCAAAACCACATATCGGTAGACCTACAGTGCAAGGCAGTTACCGTACATGTAGACTATACACATTTATGTATGCACACACGTACTGTTTATTCACGTGTGCATGTTCATCATGCTACATACATGTACATGACATATACAGCACATGTAATAAATTGTAAATCAACTGGTCAACCTTGAATGAATTTTTCCAACTTTCAAGCATTCTTTGAGACCTGAAAATGGGGATGAATACAGCACATGTACATGAACACAGATGTATGATACAGAACATTTTTTTTACTTTGTTACCGCAGTTTTGCTTGACCAATTTCAATAGAGACATATTCATGTTTTAGACATACATGTGCAGTGCACATGTGCTGCAAATGCCCGGAGGCTATTTCAAAGTCAAACACGTTCCACTGAATCTCCCTATGAACTGCTTAGCACTCCAACACATGAAGTGCCGAGCTTTTTCTTCACCTTTGCACGATCCATTTGACATTCTGATGCAGCCACTCATTGATTTTCCAATTTGCAAATGCAGTTGGCCTGAACACCTGCGGCTAGAAACACTGGCATTATACATGTGTCCACTAGTACATGTATGCATGTATCTGTTCCCGTGGGTGTTACAAGTTTGGATCTACGCTTGGACACAGTGACCTACTTTCTAAAGACCTTACAAAATCAGAACTCTTTGCTTTTGAGGAAACCAAGCGGGCTGCACGTACACGCAAGTGTACATGCCTAACTGTATATGTCTCGTTCTAAGGGGAATCATCGGTCATCTGTGACCAATTTCCTGTCTGAAAAATTCAGACAGAAATGGGATTTTAGATGTTCGACACGTGTATACAAGCACAGAGCAGGTTTTCATCGAGGTCAAATTTGTGAGAATATGAGCTGACAAAAAACTTGCACTCCAATTTTTTTTTTGGGGGGGGGAGGTTTGACTGTTTTTACTTTCCTTCATTTGAAAAGATTACAGACAGGGATTTCATGCACGTACATGTTTGTGGGAGGAGTAAGAGGTCGCCAAGAGACACTGAATGGGAGGCGACTGAGATTATCAATGCTGAAGTGACTGGTTGAAGTGCACCGGCACAGTTATACCTGCATGCATGAATTGCAACAAATTTGTGGGGTTTGGGGGAGGGGGGACGCCATGTTTTTAGAATGGAAGGCAATAAGGCTGGGATGTTTACATGTTTAAACATTTAAATGAAACAAGTTCCAAATTCATTTACAGATTTTGCCAGCAGTTCAAATGGAACCGCCCCTTTTAGAGGTTTGACGTTTTGATCGACACAATCAAATGTTAAATTCATGAAATGTTATCTGATTCTCAGAAAACTTTTGTCCCTTTCGGCATCCATGTACATTGTACTTTTTGACAAAACAGTGGATTCTAAAACAATAAACACTGCTTGTTATTAATGCATACGAAAATACTGAGGTAGGCAGCAGCCGCCTCTGTAAAGTGTTGGCTACACGTTTAAGCAGTATGGGAAAGTTTCCTAGAGGTTTTTCAAATTAAACAAAAATTCCAAACCTTAGAGGGGAAAACAGAAACTGTGATAAAGTTTAAGGAATTACACCTCCACAGTGTAAATCATACAGTTGTACGTGTACCTGGTATATTTGCGAAAGTAGCTTACTCCACAAAGTAAACCATTAAAAGTACAGTACGCCTACAACCCTTTTAACAAATACATGTACCTGCTGTTACTGGGTCAATTGAGTCAGACCAACTCAACCACCAATTCACTTGTGCACGACTAGAATTGCAAAATGTTCAGGGAGAAAAATTACGGAACAAATGGCCTATTTTTCCCCCTGCTTCTGTAGAGAAACCAGGAGCCAAAATATCAACAAACAAGTCCGCTGATGATGCAGGTCATTAATCATGACAAAGCTGCCGTCAATGCAGACTGGTATACATTACCGCTAAACCACATGCACATGTGTCAACCAGTGGACCAATGCATGCGCGGTTACCGGTAGTTATTGGCCGATGTTTGAGTTATGAAGCCTTGAATGCAGAAAACTGTTAATTGAGGGAAACTGCAAGAATTTCCCACTTGAGGCAGATGACGGTAAGGACAAGAGGCGATTGAATATGAACAAATGAGGGCAACAGCTTTTGCAAACTTGTACATTTCACATGCACATGTATATGAGACAGTCAATAGGAAGCACATGTACATACAGTGTACATGTAAATACCGGTATGATACATGTACATGTATATTCAGCTTTGAAAATACACACTGCCTTGGATTGGCAAAAGGAGAATTTGGCAAAGCAACAAATTCTACAACTCAAACCAATTTGGCAGCTAGGGATCAAGCAAAGGAAGGATTCTAACTGTGACAAGTTCACAAGGTATTTGCGCGCATAATGTACATGTACAAAGTACCGGTATGTATTTGTAAGCATCTGCTTGCACTGTCCTACATGTACCAGTATAGACAATTTTTTTAAATGTCCGGAGGCAGCAAATCATGGGAGGACTTGTGCAAGCATGTCCCGAAATTTTGAAGCCAATTATCGTTCTGTGCAAGAGTCACAATTTCCGTCTCAAAGTCCTCCTTGTTAAGGGCAGACCTTCAATAACACAAATAGCTCAAATAAGCGCACTTTGTGATCTCAAGTCATCCAGATGACTACCATCTAAAATTAGGTTAGAGTCACAGTTTTCACAGATGAAAGGCATCAACGTGCTCTAACATTTACTGCTCCAAGTTACCATTTCAAGGTTCTTAAGAATCCATTTCATTTTTTTAATCTTTAATTCATGTTGCGGTTGGGTGATAAATCTTCAGAGCTGCTTGGAATCAACTTTTTAGGAAACCACGGATGCAGGTAGAACTCCTTGGCCATTAGTTTATTCCTGCAAACGAATTTCGATCAGTATTCTGAAACTCAGTTTGGAATCAATTCTGCTCTCTTCTCCCCAAAGACTCATCCGAGTCGGATCAAGCTGGCTGTGTTTACTTTCATATGACCAGAGTGAAACATCACACCTGCGTCTTTATTTCGACTTGCTGGAAAGAAGTCACACCAAAAAGCTGACGGGCAATACATCAAATGCAAAGTGGCACTTAAAGATCTCATATGCATGACATCCTGCACGCAAGCAAATGCTAAGTGAAGGGCTTGCTTGTTTCACAGGATCCAAATTGGTCGGTTCCCTGACAACTACATCATGTAAACGCGTCCAATGGATGAAGTGAACCAGCATGGGGACTACTGACTGAGATCCAGATCAGTGTGAAACTGACAGGCCCTCATCGTTTCAAAGACTGAATCACATTTTTGGGTCACTCATTTACTACTTTTGAGCAGCACCTGTGGAAAACAAGCAGTTGCCCGATACTACCAATAATTATTACCAGCAAAGTCCTATTATCATGTTATGTTATACCTCTTTATGTTGTACAATTTTCAAACTACCGGTAACAAACTACAAATGTGTACAGTACATGTAAGTATGTGTAATTTTTCAGGATACGGTATTCAGGGGTGAGATTGAACAATGATAAAAAAAGCTGAAAACAGCTGAAAAAAGGCATAAAAAGAAGCTGACCTGTGAAAATCTCCTATACTTTTGTACACAGCCAATGAAGAAAAAAGCTGAAATCCAAAACCAAAAATAGCTGAGAAATCTCCCCCCTGAGTATTCCAGAGAATAGTGTTGGCACTTTTAAATGCACATCTTACTGCGCACAGAAAGAAAACATTGACTGTGTCCAGATTCAAGCACATAAGCACAGTCCCTGTCTTGTCACAGCCTGGGAGATAAACAATCCATCAGTCATATCCAATGATCGTGAAATATCCAGCAGGCTGGGAATGCCCAGGGAATGTGGTCGGTACCGGTAGGTAGTTCAAGCATGGCCGTGTATCAGGGGGCAAACGTGCGTGATTCATGCCAGCTGGTGGACACGTGCCGCCATCTTGGGCCCAACTCTCATTGTGGTGCCTGAGACGACACGTCCCAAAGAAGAAACCTCTGTGCTTCCTCTATATGCATGCTTATTTGTCTATTGCTAAGGAAGATGCTTTGAGATTTGGAGGAGGTTTATACTTATGAGTAATTTCTTTCTTTGCTTTGCAATGGAAATAGACAGAAAGGTGACCCGAAGACGCACAAACTGCAATGCATGTACATGTACATTAGATCCACAGTACATGCAGGTAAGCCCAACTATAAATTCACTCCTTGGAAATTCAGGGTGGTCTTCAACAATACAGATAGAAGCAAATTCTGGATCGATTTCTTCAGAATTACAATGCACCCTGATCTGGCTGTCAAACAGAACTTGCTATTCTCATGAATAATAGTTTCCGGTAATGACACCGAGGATTCCTCAAAAGCGCCCAAGGCACTGTAGCTAATGAGCCCGAAGAAACCTGTAGAGAGGAGCCAATGCGGAACAGACATGTCACGGAGGTGGGAGGAAAACTCCAGAGGAATATTCTCCGTAAAACCCATAAAATCAGGCAACCCAATCCCCATGTGGACCAACCGGGAATCCAACCCAGACTACAGAGGTGGAAGGCAAGGAAAGAACAATGCCAACCTGACTCCCCAAACACTGTGGTACAGGGGAAACTATTCAAGTCTGAAAATCCATGTACTTGTACATACAGTAAATGTACCAGTACACTGATGGTGAAAAACAGTCTTTTACAGCGTGTGAATCTTAAAACATCTGTCGCATCCTGTTGTCTCACAGCAGGGTGGAAAAGTATCAATTACCATGTAAATGTGACCTTGGGTACACCAGATATGGTCACTACCAAAAGACCAAGATCCAATGCTACCCACGCACAACCCCCTACAATAAGAGAAACTGACCAAGAGATCATTCACCCAAGAGGTGCTCTGGGTGCCTGGCCAAGGACTACATGTACCCAGTAGGCCTACACAAAAAGCAAGGCAACATTGGACAAGACAAGCTGGCAACAATGCACTGTGTAGACGCCATTGGAGGGTTTCTTATCAAAGTGAAATACATGTACAAGTAAATGCATGTTGTAGTACAGAATATCTGTAAAAACTAGTTCAACAACTGTACATGTAAATCCCCATCCAACAGTGGCCATAGTTTCTGAGTACAAATACACGTAAAGTACAGTTAAGTGGCCACTAGCAACAGAGGAAAGAACAGTTTACTATGTACACAGGATCTATGTCTAAATACAGTATACAGGTACATCTGGGACAAAATTTCCACAGTTCTTTTATTCATAATTTGTTCATGACTATAAACACCAAGACAGTATACATTTACCGCATTTTTTGACCCACCCCAAAACACCTCTTTAGCGGAATCCTCTTGGCATTCCAACTGCAAACACAGTAAATAACGGATGATCAACCATCTGGCGCTGAAAATGCGTGAACCAAATGACCATCTTGTCACGGTCCTCAATCACCTGGACTTCCCCCCCCCATATGTGGTTATTTTGGGGTCGGCACGGCGAGAGACTCATTCCATTCGATCCTGGAAACCAACTGCCATTTGGCAGCGACAGCTGGCGTGACTGCTCTGTTCCTCGGACCAGCCACGGCATCGGACTCGATGGGTGTCTGACCGGTCCTGTGGGCAGTCGGAAGACCAACTGATGCATTGACAGTGGCAGGCCAGCTTTCAACTTAAACCGCTGCAAACTTCAGGTACCAGTACTGTTCTTAAAACTCAACCTGCAAACATATACCAGGTACATGAACAGCACATGCATGCATACATGTACACAGATACCCATGTACATGTATGCTCAAGTGTTGAGAATGCGTCCCAGGCCAATATGGGTACTTTTAGGAGAGCTATGTATCGCCTACAGTTTGACGTCCCTCCCCCCAAAAAACCTATTACTGATACCAATGTTCCAGAACAAAAAGTCACAAACCAATGACCTATCACTGCAATAAAAACCTGAGACAGGTCATTCTTGAGGGCAATCACTATAAATCTACATTGTATCTACTCATAATGGATCACGCAATGGGGCTGAAGCTTCATAGATCTTGCAAGTACATGTAAAACAGGCTACAGACGGTGATCATTTAGTTATAAATCCCAATGCTGAAGTGTTTGCCTCTGCTCAATTTACAGATCTACACTACAATCTTAGTGCTCTAGGAACTGCTGGACACTGAGGAACCAATGTTGACTGACAGCATTGAGTACAACACACTTGCGGGTGTATGAAAACTTCACTGAAAACGAAAATTTTCATGAGGGTTTTAATACCAAACAGCCTTTGAGCATCAACCGCCCACCTTTGCAGTAATCCTTGGGGTCCTCTTGCTCATCATCGTCGGATCCCAGTTGTTCCTCCTCTTCTTCCTCGTCCTCCTCCGCCCGATATCTCTCATCCCGCTGGTCCCCGTCCGTGATGAGGTTGTCGCGTTCGTTGACGCCATCCTCCCGGAAGTAGCTGTTGTCTTGGGGCTCCTCCTCGTCTGAGGAGTCCAGGGGCTTCTGGGACGGCTTACTGGGATGAGACCTGTGGTGAACAAGGAGAACTGTACGTGAGCAGTTTAATACTTTCCAGTAGAAATTAATCAGTATGTTCAAACAAGACCAGCCTGCTCACTGCGGAGTAAAGACTATGGCTAGCCATCAGCACAAAAGCACAAAAGAATAAGTCAGTAATTGTTAAAAAAATCCCACACAGCTATCATGGTACCCAAGAAAAAATACTTCATTACTACTCATAATGAAAGTAGGACCCCCTTTCAAAGCCACTGGGCAAATGTACAGTGTCTACATGTATATTTTCAGGTACAATGTACATGTAAAATATTACACCAACCAAGGGTGGTACATGTATTTTTGCAAATATGGCCATCCACATGAACAGCAGGCAATATGGGAGGACTCTGAACAGATTCTATACATGCACTTCGCGAATACAAGATGCACCAACAACGATGGATCATGAACTGAAATGAATTTATTTCCTTGTTTGGACATCACAGCAACATTTTGCAGTCCTATCTCCTTGCCTTCACAAGTAACTCCAAGTGCTCCCTGAGGCATTTCCTGCAGCATCTTCTTGAACTTAGCCTCCATACAAGTACATTTTACATGCTTTACTCAAGGGAACAGGAGATCTCCACTCAAGAATTAGACAAGATGGAGAAGTAATGCCGCATGTCGCACGGGAAATTCTGAAGGAGGTCTCATCTTCAGTTTGATGTCCTGCAATGCCTGGGGGAATTCCCTTTGTCCCTTTACATCATATAAATTCATTACGTTAAAATTTACAAATACATGTAGATATACAGTGTGTACTGCAAACAAAATGGGTACTGGTATGAATAACACAGTAGGAGAAAGGCAGTGGTTACAAAATGTACATACATGTACATGTATACATGTTCAAGGTAATGAAACGTATCATAAGCCTTGCACAAGACTGACAATAAGATGAGCACAAGCTAAATGTGTATCATTTGTGACCCGGCATCCGGCTCTTTCCTATTTTGAGGGTTCAAAGTCAAGTATTGAAGTGGAGGTCAATTTTTGTAATATTTGGACAGAGTAACCCATCTACATGTATTTCATTCGAAATTTTTTCGCAGGGTCAGGCATTTAGAGATGTCATTTTCTCAGCAATTTCAAGCATTATTCGTGCCTGAAACAATGCCGGAAAAAAGACCCAAAGCTGCCAGAATAATGTCACAGTGTCACCCTATACGGGTACTTTTACTGCAAGTGTTCCATGTACACTGGAAATCTCTCTTTCTGCTGAATTCAAAGATACCAATATCTCATTTTTTGAAAATTCCAACTTTCAGCTCATTTTGTAGTAACATGTCACATTCGGGAAACCTTTAGAGGGTCCACACAATACTATTATTTTGTGAAATACCTTGAAAATGCACCTTTATAGTTAAGCACACCTTATTGTTGAATTGGTTTTTCTACCAGTAGTTTAAAAGCTGTTTCGGTGCCCTTTAGATTTTTATGCTAATAAAAATTTCCATATTCATGAGCAAATCTACATTGTATGAAGTCATCCCAGGGTGAAAACCTGAATATACAATGTACAGTATTGATACGTATGTACATGTAACAACCTGCTGGATTTTATAATTTGCTGTCCTAAAATTTTCATTTCTCTTTTGATTTACATGTACTGTAGTAAATAGGACAGGGATCGGCAAGTGTCAACAAGCACCTTGGCAGTTCACGTTCTGAACAGAGAAATGTAAAATTGAGCAATGTCTTCTCTGACTGACATCAAGGGAACAGCATCCTCAGCTATCAAAAAAGTTTGGACAATTTTAGTGTTAAATAAAGTGCAATGCACTTATTCCTCAAAAGGATTTCAAACAGTTTTCATACACTAAAGAATATTATAAAGACATATATGTACATGTGAATAACGTATCTAAAAAATTAAATCACATTGACCCTTCAAAAATTACAACTGGTGTTTCCATTTGCCCAGCAGATTCTGTAATCCATGACCAGAATGAACCCTGAATGAAAGTGCAAACCTTGGAGCATGCTACGTGTTACCGTTACATCACAAAATACCCCTGCCTGATGTGAATGATACAGATTACCAAGGCGCTTTAATGTACATGTAGGGAAGTGTTGAAGGAGTGCATGTGTTTCTCCACAGCCTCAGACCACTTCAAATCCAAATGTGGGCTTTAAGCATTTGGTTTCCATGGATACCTGGTAACTACTGTATGGGGAAAGAAAACCTACCACGGATATGAAGTGCTTCGGCCTCACATACATGAACTTTAGGCTGTCTTCGGCAATTTACACATATACGCATACATGTACATCCAAGGCAAGCTCTATGGTTCAGTGGTGAGACATCTGCACTAGTAAGCAGCAGGTTATGGGTTCAAGTCCCACCAGAGTAAGTTTGTGAATAATTTCTAAACAAGCCTTCAGACAATACTGAGTATACAGTGCAAATATATAGGACAAGAATACCAAATACAGAAATGAACATCTCCCTGATGGAAAAAACTACTCATCTTAAAGACATACATCCAGCTTGTTTGAGACCTGATGTGCCGGTTTACATGTACATGTATGTTATGTACATGTACACTGGGTGGAATTTTCCAAGTCTGCTAAATTTGTGGATCTGGCAAGAAGTCTAACACTGCATGCTGTCTGACTGAGGTGTGACTGAGATTACCTTGTGCATCCACACCACATCCCCCTTAAAGCTCCTCAATTAATTTGTGGACTGCTAGAGGGAACGATGACGTGCGAGGTACAGGCACGCATCCCGCAAATTCCTCTCGCCACACTAATGATGTCTGGGAAAACAGAACAGGGGATCCTGCCATGATTTGGCTTAGTTGTTATGACAACGTCTAGTAGTCCCTCCACGTCCTTAACCCTCCTATGCTAAGATACACTCTCGACACAGTTGTCACATCAGTCAAAATCAGTCAAATTTCCATATATGTCTGTGTACTGGGGGAAATCAAGTGGAAGGCATTTTTGACTGTTTTTGACAAAACAGACGGAGGGTTAAAGGAAACTTACAAGGCAGGAACGTTCATGTTTTGCCAAAGATTTGCAAACCCCGAAAATGATACATATGTAAATTCCAAAGCATGTTCTGGCAAGGTGTAGTGCTCAGAACTGGCCCCAAGGGCACCTCACAAGTTTACTTGATAATTTGTCATTGTTGCTACAGGTAGCTGATCATAAATAATAAATACACGAAGTGTCCAAGGACGCGGTAAGTAAAACAAATTGTTTCCTGGCACGCATCTGCTGTGCTCGCAGCGAATCACAAGCTTGTCTCCACTGTCAATTCACAAAATTCTTGCCATTGCAGTCTGACATCTTAGATCCCCATCACAGCTTGCAGTGATCCTTGCTGGTTAGCGCTTGACAGGATACCGGGTACATGTACATGTAAGTGTTTGTGGATAGCTCTTCCAGTCTCTGATAATGCACTGCATGTACACGTACACACGGAGCCTTGAGACTTCCACATTCAGGTAACTGAACATGAGTAATAGAAGTCTCACGAGTAATAGAAGTGATGTCTCAAAACCTCTTTTGACATCAGCATATGCTCATCAGGAGAAAAGAGACATGCAAATATTTTCAAGTTCCACTTGCAAAGACATGTATTTTTTCTCCCATGACTACGGGTACCACATTAATAAGCGGGGTGTTTTGTCAGTAAGCAATAATGTTCCCTCTCCCCTGGGGCTCACACACTGTTTGCACAAACTTCTGACTTGCTCAGTCCGAGTCACGAAGCTGGATTTTCTCCAGCCGCTCAAGGTGCAGGCTCCACCTACTTGAATCATGCATACATGTACATGCAGATGTGCACACTCGTACACGAAACACATCAGTCTGGAACATGTTTTCATAACCCCTAACCAGAAACACACAGTACATGTACAAGTATGCATGTGACGTCAAAGCTAATGTATAACTAAGAATAACTAAGGAATAATAACTAGGAATAACTTGGAATGACTGAGGAATATGTTTACGGGGAGCCTGCAAAAAAACCGCAGTCACCAGAAAATGTTGCATGTATGTCATCCAAGAGAGACAAAGTACAACATACGGTACATTTAGCAGACAACATTGTAGGCAAATGGCATTTTCTCTCAGTTTTTAGCACGTTTCCTCACCACGCATGCTATGTTTTTTCACATTCTCAAAGAAAGTATACATTTTGTTTCACTGAATGCAACAACAAATTGCAAGGTAAGTACACAGAATTCACTTCTTTTAAAACCGACAAAAAAGCTTGCTTATCGTCTGCCATTTTGAATTGGCCGAATCTTTCGATTCTTTCAGTTGGAACAAGGACGTCACGGAGGCATGACTGAAGATGTGACAACGCCCAACCAATGACTGAAGCAAGCACAAAGTTTGTACATGTTACTACATTACATGAAGTGCATAGACGGTTTACAACCTACTAGTAGTAGTGCCTGGTTTTAAATTTCAACTTGACAAATCAATAAAGTGGACTCACGTTGGCTCCTGGTACCCTCCCTGTCCCCCCCCCATTTCTTGGGTTGGCTGCAACATGCTTCAGGCCGGGTGTCAGATAGTTGCAGCAATTATCCAATTGGACAAGCCACACATGTCAAATCAGCCACTGGAAAAATGTAGCTGCAAATAATCATATAGGCCTGTACAATGTAGATTTTTGGAAAAGTACATGTATCTAGAGATGATTTGCCAAAAGAGGCATAAATCATGCTTTTTCTTTGAAATCACACCACAATCACATTAAGTTCTCCAAACTGAGACCCGGTACATTTACATGTATGTTATGGCAGGACACTCCAAGGTACATTGTACATAAAACGTTTTCACATCAATTCATACACCTGGTACCCTGGGTCGACAAATGACTCCTTTCATGTGATCTCTTCACATATGGGTATCAATGGCTATGTAATACTGGCTGAAAAAATGATGTGTTTGCACTGAAATGTGATGGTTACGCACAGACACTGTACAAAGCAGTGTCCAATG